TTCAAAACTACTTATTAACTTCGTCGTGTATTTTTATTTTAAAAAACTTATTTTAATCTAATTTTTTTACTACTAGTGAATTGAAAAAAAACTGAAAACTTCCAAAATTGCAAAAAAAATCAATTGTTTTCCTGGTAAACTGTAGAAAAAAAAACAATAACGTATTTGGATTCTTGGACATTTTTGCATCAAATACAATCAAGTTTAGGGCGCTGCAACGCCTGCTAGATGTCCAAAATGACAAAAACTATTTAATAGTCAAAAAAATATATATAAATCAAGAAAATATTGATCAATTTGTCAAAAACTACTTGTCGTAGGAAATTTTAACTTGTACCATTGTGTTTTTTGTGCAATTTTATGTCTAGAAAGCCTTATTTCAATCAAAATTTTAATTCTTCTCTTAGAACTAAAAGAAAAAAAGTTTAAGAAAAAAAATATTTGTTTCTACTTTAACCATGTTTTTGTCAAAAACTATGAGCCTTAGGTAAAAAACAATTACGGATTTGGATTCCTTGGACAATTTTGTGTAAAATACAACCAATTTCAGGGCGCTTCAACACCTGCTAAATGCCCGAAATAACAAAAAAACTATTTAAAAGTCAGAACGAAAAAAATACAAATAAAAAAAATATTGATCAATTTCTCAAAAACTACTTGTCGTAGTACATTTTAACTTGTATCATTATGTTTCTCGTGAAATTTTACGTCTAGAAAGCCTCATTTTAATCGAAAATTTGTACTCTTCTCTTAGATTGAAAAGAAAAAAAGAGCATAAGAAAAAAATATTTGTTTCTAATTTAACCTCGTTTTTCTCAAAAACTATAAGCTTCAGGTAAAAAACAATTACAGATTTGGATTTCTTGGACAATTTTCAACGCCTACTAGATGTCCGAAATGACAAAAAACTATTTAAAAGTCAGAACGAAAAAAATATATAAATAAAGTAAAGATTGCAAAATCAATAAAAAACAGACACAAATGAATTTTTCGTTTTTTGATTTTAGTTTCGATAAAAACAAGAAGCATTTTGTGGGGTTTTTATAACTGAACACTTTAATTCGTCTCAATTTATTGAATAAATTGTATTGAAACAATGACATAAGAAGTGACACTAGCGAGAATAAAACCGAGCAAAGTGAAGTCGACAGGAAAGAAACCAGCTGCTGAAAATCTCGGCCGACGTGTTGCAACTTGCTGAATTAGCAAACAAATTTCCTCTTTCAGGCAGAATTCTTCATAACTCTTCGGGATTGCTGGAATTTTGTTCAAATAACTGAAGCAAATCGCTGTGATGTTCTCCGATGCTGAAACAGCACTGGCACACTCGTGTGCCAAAAGCACAGAAAAGATCTTCAAAAATGAGCAAAACCAATTTCAGGACTTACTAAAAGTGTCAACATCCATAAAACGCTCAAAACGATCAAATCATTGCCATAGGTGAATCCCCGGATTTCGCGTTTTTTCACCGCGTAAACGAGCAAAAGATCGCTCAAATTCAAAATGTACGAAATTGTGAACACAATCACTGATAGAATCACAAAACCGAAAATTTTATTAAAAGTGTCACAAAGACCGCAAATTTCGTTGTAATAAACACGAATTTTTTGCAACTCGACTTTATCAACTTTTCTTCTCTCCAGTAACAAATTCAAGGAGACAAAAAAATTCTTGATAATCGAAGCTGAATGAAACACAAAAAACACCACAGTGTTGCTCGCATAATACATCACACTTCTGCCAACATAATAGCGAAAAATCGCAAACCCCAGAGTGGAATTCCAGACCCAACCATCAAACCCAATAATTAAAATCATGTAAAAATTAAAACAAATTAATTGAAAATTAAAATTTCGTGGGGTGAAACACCTAAAACCGTCAATTTTCGATAATTTAAAAACACCATTCAAAAACTCCTTCACAATTTTACCATTAAAAAAAACAAAAGACACACGTAAAATCACATTGACCAATGAGAGAGTCACATTTGCGATTTTATCAGTGATGGCAACCGTTGGATCAAAACTGTCATAAAGATACCTTTCACGACCATAAGAAGAATAAAAAAACACCAAAATTGACACGAAAATATGACACAAAGTGTAAATTTTAAACCGAAAACTAACAGGCAATGCCTCAGTACCGAATTTGTGAGGGGGCAAAAAACCCAAAATATTACAAGTCAAATATAGCAATTTTATGTAACCACAATCGGTCTGCATTATCGGAAAACTAACAACAATTAATTATACCAAGCATTTAATTCCATCAAAGCAATCCAATTTCGGTGAAAAAACAAAGAAAGTGGACACTTACCTAATTAGTGGACACACGAAATATCCCTCAATTATAACCAAAGTTCAAATTTTGACAATTTAGTCACCTAGCAACTAGCGACGTAACAGTGCAATTTGTTCAAAATACTTTATAGTTGCTAGGTAACAATGCAATTGTCATTTTAGTTGTCTAGCAACGACATAAGTAACATAAATGCAGTTGCTAGGTAACAATATAGTGTGTAGTAACAATGTCAGTGTCAATTTAGTTACTTAGCAACTAGCAATGTAACAGTGCAATTTGTTCAAAATATATCAGTATCTTGTGTAGTTGCTAGGTAACAATGTAATTGTCATTTTAGTTGCCTAGCAAATGACTGGCAATGTAAGAATGAAAAGTGACACAAAAGCAGTTGCTAGGTAACAGCGTAACAATGTCCGTGTAATTGTCAATTTATTTACTTAGCAACTGAACTTTTTTTTAATAAAAAATTAGTTAAAAAATCGCCTAAAACCGCACACTTTATTTTTTATGAGAATAAAAATCATAAAATGAGATATTTTACCAATTTAGTTACCTAGCAACTAGATATGTAACACTGCAATTTGTTCAAAATACATCGGTATCTTGTGTAGTTGCTAGGTAACAATGTAATTGTCATTTAAGTTGCTTAGCAAATGACTGGCGATGTAAGAATGAAAAGTGACACAAAAGCAGTTGCTAGGTAACAGCGTAACAATGTCAGTGTAATTGTCAATTTAGTTACTTAGCAACTGAACTTTAAAAAAAAAATTAGTTAAAAAATTGCCTAAAACCGCACACTTTATTTTTTTATGAGAATAAAAATCATAAACTGGGATATTTTACGAATTTAGTTACTTGGTAACTAGCTATGTAACAATGCAATTTGTTCAAAATACATCGGTATCTTGTGTAGTTGTTAGGTAACAATGCAATTGTTATTTTAGTTGCCTAGCAAATGACTGGCGATGTAACACCGTAAATGCAACGGTGTCTTGTGTAGTAACAATATCACTGTAATAGTCAATTTAGTTACTTAGCAACTAGCGATGTAACAGTGCAATTTGTTCAAAATACATCGGTATCTTGTGTAGTTGCTAGGTAACAATGTAGTAATTGTCATTTTGGTTACTTAGCAAGTGACTGGTGATGTAAGAATGAAAAGTGATACAAAAGCAGTTGCAAGGTAACAATGTCAATGTAATTGTCAATTTAGTTACTTAGCAACTGCATTTTTTTTTAATAAAAATTAATTAAAGAATCGCCTAAAACCGCAAACTTTAACGTATTATGGGCAATAAATTATTTATTAATTTTTTTATGAAAATAAAAATCTAGTTACCTAGCAAATGTAACAATGCAATTCTAAGTTAAAAATGTAACGGTATTTTGTGTAGTTGCTAGGCAACAATACAATTATCATTTTAGTTACCTGACTGGATATACGGTTGCTAGGTAACAGTGTCTTGTTGCTAGGTAATAATACAGTTGTCAATTTAGTTGCTTAGCAACTGATTAATTAAAAACTTGCAAACTTTGTTATGGGCCATAAATATGAAAAATTTTATTGTTTATAGCAAAGCTCACCCAAACAGTGTTTCGTTAAAATTAGCTGAAATCATTGTTGCCAACATTTAATTTTGAATCAATTTTTTTGATAGAGTTGTCAACAAGGCACACTTTATTTAAATCAAGCGTAATCGTGGTGTGGGAGATTTTTATAAGATAATTGCTGTTTTGAGGTGCTAAATATAGCGAATTGTGTCACTTTTGATTCGAAAATCTCGATAATTAATAATTTTTCGGGATTAGAAGTGAGCAATAACAATATAATTATTATTCCCCCACTTGTTTCGAGAGTGAAAATCCCACTTCTATCTTGATTCAAATTCAGTTCAAGTTTTAAGCTCATAGAGTCAAAACTGGTACCAGGGTTCACCTGACTGTCTCAAGGTTAGTACCAGAAAAAAAAACTCAACTATTTTGCCTTAAAATGAATTAAGTTTTGTTTGTTTTATCGATTTGATCAATGTCTCCACGAAAACGTTCTGTTTAGTCGATTTGTTAACGGTTATTACGAAATTTTTATCTCTTATCGAAGGAATCTATGACAAGTGTCGACTGTTTTTTATTAATTCATTTGAAACAATCTTGAGCAAAACACTTGTTTTTGTTCCTGATTTAAGGTCAAGAATGCGGTTTTCTTTATATAGAAAATTGCGAAGAAAATATTTATTTGCTGGGAAATTAATTTTAGAAAATTAAATTTAGTTGCGATTCCACAAAAAAAAAACAGAAAATATTTTTACACTTCCTGATGACAAAATCAGATTTTATAAAAATATGATCGTGTCATGACATCATTATGATGATTGTTTCGGATAATTAAAATTCAAAAATGTGGGCCGATGTCAAGGCCAACTTCTCGAAAAATTGCCTTTTTGGGAGCGCATCCACCAAAAATATTTGCATCCGTGAGCATAAAATATTTTTTTAATATTTACGATGTCTTAAACAAAAAAATTGTTGATGATATCACAAAAATAATAATTATTAGCCAATAAAATTATACCAAAAGAATTCTGACACTTTGCCAGACGAGCAGATCTGTTTAAAAAGCTGTAAAAATCTTCATAAAAGACACTGTTTAGACTTGAGTGATTTATATAAAAGCTTGATGTTATTAATGTATGAATTCGTGTGTGGAAAGTGAGTGAGGTGCATCGGTGTGTGAAAATCGACATATGCTCCATTTTTTTCCTGTTTAATTAATAAATTACTCCAGAATTGGGTAATTGATTGGTTATATTGATTTTTGAAGACTTGTGAATCCTTGAAGGTTTTATTTGTTCGACACATAAAAAACTTGATCGGAAATTTATTATCGTTTATTAAAAGAATTAGCAAAAATGTGACAAAATTCCAACAAACACTTTTATTATTCTAATTAATGCGACGTGCACTTTTTATTATTTTAGTTCTAGTTCACACAAAATTACCTAAATTTCTCGAAAACTACGTTTTTACGTCTAGAAAACCTCATTTCACTTAGAGAATTTACCAATTTTAGTGTACCTAAAAAAATTCTTAATATCAAAAAAAGTCAAAAATTTTAATTGTTTTTTCTGGTGAACTGTAGAAAAAAAAACAATCACGAATTTGGATTCTTGAGATATTTTTGTATAAAATACAATCAAGTCACGTCAAAGCCCTCTAGATGTTTCAAAAGCCAAAAATATATTTTTTTTCACAAAAAGTAAAAAATCAACCAAATATGGACCGATTTTTTAAAAACTATTTATTGTACAACATT